ATAGGGGGTGGGGTCCCAGGAGGGGACAATCAGGGGACAAGGACCAGAGGGCTTAGATAGGGGTGGGGCCCTGGGGGGCAGTTGGGGCAGGGGTCCCGGGAGGGGGTGATCAGGGGACAGGGTGCAGGGGGGGTTGGATGGGTTGGGGTTTCTGTGGGGGGCAGTCGGAGGGAGTCGATGGTGGCAGGGTGGGGCTACCCTCCCTCCCCGTGAAGTGTCCTATTTTTTGAATGTTAAAATATGGTATCCCTGCCCTTCCCAGTGCAGCTCTCCATTCACAGCAGGCTGCAGCATGAGGTCTCAGCTTCCTCCCTCCCTCCCCCTCTTTCCTGTTGGTAGTGGCCAAGGGAATGCTGGGAAATGTAGTTCTTTCCCTGCTCCAGGGCTGGCTCATGGAACTACAGCTCCCAGGGCCCCCTGTTGGTGATCAGCTCCCAGGCTGGATCCCCCAGCTGCCGCCCCTGCAAATGGGCTGCCTCAAGCACTTGCTTGCTTTGCTGGTGCCTAGAGCCGCCCCTGCCTATATAGAGCATCCCCCGATCCTGGCAGAAAGGGGAGGGGGTGGAGGAGGCACGCTGGGACAGCCTGGGGGGATCTCAGGGGGAACTGGGGTGGCTGGTGTGAGGGGGGGTGGAATCCCAGCAAGGGGGGACTGGAATGGGGGGGGTGGATCCCAGCACAGGAGGATTCTGGGGGAAGGGAAGGTCGGGGGCAGAGAGGATCCCAGAAGAGAAGGGCCTGGGGACCTGGGGGTGAGGATGGGAAGGGGGAGCCATAGCCAAGGGGGGCAGGAAGGGGTGAAGATCCCAAGGGAGAAGGGGCAGTACGGTTTGGAGGGAAGGGGCCTTGAGTAAAATTGGCTGAGGGTGCATGGTGGGGGGTGGGGATCCCAGCACAGGGCTGAGTTGGGGGAGGAGCTGGAGGGAAGGGGAGGGGGCCCGGGGCAGCACCCAGGGGCCATGCAGGTGACATTTACTGGCTTCCCGGCCAGCAGCATCCCTGGCAGCCCCCGTGCCGGTGAGATCTGGATCTCTGGCTCCTCCGTCAGCTCTGAGACACGGGGAGAGGGAAGAGAATCACTCAGGGTTATGGGACCTTTCCCCTCTAGGGGCGCCGGCCCCGATCCGGCCCCAGGGCAGGCACTGGCTGGCTCAAGGGGCCTGATGAGCAGTGACTGCGGCTTCCCTTACCTGGCACAGAGATCGTGAGTATAGCGTTATTGAAGCGGTAACTGTATTTCAGTGTTCCTTTCTCGAATCTGAAGTAATACCTTCCTGTGTCCCTCCATTGCGCTTCACTGATCAGCAGGGAGCAGTCGCCATACGCCAGCTCCCCCGCCAGCCGGAACCGTCCCTGGGTCTCCTGAGACACCCCCCGGCTGGGGTCACTGCTGGCTACGGGCGGATCTTGGCTCTCATTGGCCTGATCCTTGTACCAGTATCCATAGAGCCGGGCCCAGGGATTGTAGTCCCGGGAATTGTAGGTGTCGGATGAGGCTGAGTACGTGAAGGTGCAGGGGACGAGAACACAGAGACCCTCCTGCACCGACACCGACTGCGGCACCGTCAGGGTAAATCCAGGTAGTTGGGACAGGGACCCTGCATGGACGGAGAGGGATGGAAGTGGGACCCATAGAGAGCAGAGACCAAACCTGAGCTCCCCCCACAGCTGTTCCGGTGCCCCTCACTCCTGACCTGCAGCACCGTGCGAAACCAACCCCGAGTCTTTGACCAAATCTCACTCCCTTTATCTCCATCCCTCCCTTCATCGAGCCCCCTGCCCTCGCCCTGTCGCTTGGCGGCCCCTAGCACCTCACTGGGGCATTGGGCTCCCCTCCCCCTCTAGCCAGTCTCTCTTCCAAGTCCTGGGACAGGCCTGTCTTCCTGCTGCACTGGGGCTGCAGGTGCTGCTTACTTACCCCTGCAGAGCAGGGTGAGGATCAGGACATTGAGCATGGCCGCCGGGGGGGCAGGACCCCCTGCTCTCCAGGGGGGGCCCTGAACCGGGAGCTCCCATTCCCTGGTGTTCTGCTGTGTCGGCAGGGCTCTGCCCATGGCTGGGGCGTCTGGCTGGGACAGACCTAGAGACAGACGGGGGGTAGGAAGTGTGAGAGCAGAGGCTGGTTGGAAGGGACAGATCTGCCTTGGGGACCATCAGTACTGCTGGGCTCTGCAGGGCGCTGATCTGGGGTTGCTCGAAGCACAGTGACCCCCCCAAATCACCAGATGGTCCCGAGAGATCGTGGGCTAAAAAAATCCTTAAATTGGAGAGAAAACCTGAGTTTTTCCCTAAGAATCATCAGATCGGCCAGAAAATCCCGAGCTGGTGACAGAAGATGGTGGGAAGGCAGCGCTGCTCAGTGCCTGCTTTGCTTCAGTCTTCCCACAAAAACAACATGTGAGCGAGCGACCAGTGAAGTTACCACAGACAACAAAGGGGAAAGGCTGCAGATCAGGATAAGTAAGGAACACGTCAGAGATGTTCCGACCAATTTGAATGAATTCAGATCAGTGGGGCGGGAAGCTGTTCAACCCAGGGTGCTGAAGGAATTAGTCGAAGAAATCTTGGAGCCACTGGCAATAATATTTGCAAACTCATGGATGCCAGGAGAGGTCTCAGAAGATGGGGGAAGGGTTAACACAGTGACCATCTTTAAAAGAGGAAAACAGAGGAGCCGGGGAACTATAGACCAGTGATCCTGACCTCGACAAATGGAAAGCTACTAGAGCAATGTGTAAAACCTTCAATTTGTGAGGACGAAGGGGTGATCACCAGCATGGATTCACCAACAACAAATCCTGCCAAACCAGCTTGGTTTCCTTCTTTGACGAGGTAACTGGTTGATGGCAGGGGGAAAGCGGTGGACATAACATACCTGGACTTCAGTAAGGCTTTTGACACAGTCCCACATGACATTCTCATAAGTAAGCTGGAGAAGACTTCTGAAGGAACTCAAATGTGAAATTGCAGAACTACTAATTGTGGTATTTAATGAATCATTTAAATCAGCTTCTGTACCAGATGACTGAAGGATGGCTAATGTGACACCAATTTTTAGAAAAGGCTCCAGAGATGATCCCAGCAATTAGAGGCCACTTAGCCTAACTTCAGTGTCGGGCAAACTGGTTGAAACTATAGTAAAGAACAGAATGATCAGATGCATAGATGAACATGATTTGTTGGGGAAGAGTCAACATGCTTTTTGTAAAGGGAAATCATCCCTCACCAATCTACTAGAATTTTTTGAGGGAGTCAGCAATCATGTGGACAAGGGTGACCAGTCTAAGTAGTGTACTTAGATTTTCAGAAAGCCTTTGAAAAAGTTCCTCCCAAAAGGCTCTTAAGCAAAGTAAGCTGTCATGGGATAAGTGGGAAGGTCCTCTCCTGGATCAGTAACTGTTAAAAGATAGGACAGAAAGGATAGGAACAAACGGTCAATTTTCACAGTGGAGAGAGGTAAATAGTGGTGTCCACCAGGGGTCTGTACTGGGACCAGTACTGTTCAACATATTCATAAACTATCTGGAAAAAAGGGTAAACAGTGAGGTGACAAAATTTGCAGATGATACAAAACTACTCAAGATATTTAAGTCCAAAGCAGACTGTGAAGAGTTACACAGGGATCTCACAAAACTGAGTGACTGGGCAACAAAATGGCAGATGAAATTCAATGTTAATAAATGCAAAGTAATGCACATTGGGAAACACAATCCCAACTATACATATAAAATGAGCTGTTACCACTCAAGGAAGAGATCTGAGAGTCACTGTGGATAGTTCTCTGAAAACATCCACTCAATGTGCAGCGGCCGTCAAAAAAGCGAACAGAATGTTGGGAATCATTAAGAAAGGGATAGTTCATAAGACAGAAAATATCATATTGCCTTTATATAAATCCATGGTACACCCCCATCTTCAATACTGCATGCAGTTCTGGTGGCCCTATCTCAAATTGGAATTGGAAAAGGTTCAGAAATGGGCAACAAAAATGATGAGGGGTATGGAACAGCTTCCATATGAGGAGAGATTAATAAGACTGGGACTGTTCAGCTCGGAAAAGAGAGGACTAAGGAGGGATGTGATAGAGGTCTATAAAATCATGACTGGTGTGGAGAAAGTAAATAGGAAAGTGTTATTTATTCCTCCCCATAACACAAGAACTAGGAGTCCCCAAATGAAATTAATAGGCAGCAGGTTTAAAACAAACAAAAGGAAGTATTTCTTCACACAACGCACAGTCAACCTGTGGAACTCTTTGCCAGAGGATTTTGTGAAGGTCAAAACTATAACATGGTTAAAAAAAGAACTGTATAAATTCATGGAGGACAGGTTGTTACTAGCAGCTCTGTGTTCTTGGGGAACCAGGGCGCAATAGCCAGCCTGTCTGACTCATGAAAGACATTGCCCCCCCCAACCAGCCAGCCTCTGCTTGAACCAAATTTGCATCAGAAGAAAGACTTACAAAAAGCAATGAAAAGCCAGTGGGAGACACACCTAAACCCCTGGGATAAGGATGACAGAATTAAGGAAACTCCCCTAGCCGCATTGAGATGGGCCAAGGAGGCCTTTCTATTAGCATACAGAATAGAGAACAGAGATTCCAAGGCAAGAACCATACAGAACTCTGGGACCAGAAAAGCAGGGAAGCACTGCATGATGGGGGATCTCTGCTCCAGATGTTAATGAGCCCACGCCTGCACACACCCAGCTCAGCAGTTATCAGACCAATTCTAGTAATAAATCCTCTATTCGACATTGGTGAGGCCTCATCTGGAGTACTGTGTCCAGTTTTGAGCCCCACTCTACAAGAAGGATGTGGAAAAATTGGAAAGAGTCCAGCGGAGGGCAACAAAAATGATTAGGGGGCTGGAGCACATGACTTACGAGGAGAGGCTGAGGGAACTGGGATTGTTTAGTCTGCAGAAGAGAAGAATGAGGGGGGATTTGATAGCTGCTTTCAACTACCTGAAAGGGGGTTCCAAAGAGGATGGATCTA